CTACACAGAGCCCCAGCACACACATATCCCAAAGGGACAACTGGAGCCCAAAAAGCACAGCAAAGCTCTCAAGCTCCTGCCCCGAAGGGTTGGGGTTGGCACCTCAAAGGAAAGGAGATCAGCAGAGCCCCGCCTCCCTTCGCAAAGTTCAAATCTGGCCTCAAGAGCAGATAAGTGGATGAAGGCAGGCTCCTTGACCTCCTTTTTTGAAGGGCTTCCCCTTCACGTCAGGGACAGCTACTCCTATAACCTTCCCTCTTACTGTCTGCAGAACTGGCCAGGCAGGGAAGGCCACCAGCAGCCTCTGGCTGAGCACTGAAGGGTCCTTGTCATCCCTGTCCCATAGAGGTAAGTGGAGCAAGATGCCTCCTTCTAGAGACTGAGCTGCTGCCTTCCTCATTCTCCTTTGCCTCGGTGCTAGAAGACACACTCCTGCCCCCATGTACCCACATGTGCCCCCATGACTGGTTTTTTTACATCTATTTACCAACTTTACCTTTCAAATCCAGAGTGAAGGCCTGTCAGGATACACTTGCCTATCTAAGCACTAAATGGGAGGGCTGCAAAGAGGTACCAAGTTCCAACACGTGGGCGCTGCCAGGGACAGCAACGTCACCCTTTGCAGGAGGAGACGGGTAGCAAAGATACCTCAAACGCTGGATTGCACAGACGCTACATTCTAGTCTACATCAAGTATTTAAACTTCACAGCAGCCACGGAGTCCAGCTCTCCCGTGCACTTGAACCCTTCTGTATAAACACCTGCCCTACTCCCCATGACAGAATCATTCTGCCCATGCACTTGGTGACACACATCTGAGAAAACACACATTTGCTGACTTCACTCCTTCCCTCCCAATTCTGGCCCAGTAACAGGTTGATGCGGGTTATTTCAAATACTGTATGTAATTAACGTTGTCATTTCGGATCTACCTCTCCACAGTAGTGGAAAGCCACCAGCAGAAGCATTAAGATGCACTTTGGCACCGTCTTGACTCTAGAACTGGTCTTTCTGTCCCTCATCCAAGTTCCTGGAATGCTGTTCTGAGAAGGTCTACGATTAAAGTTTGTGATGACAAGAAGCCAGGGTGCCAGCAGAGCTGTGAGGAACCCGGCCACCCCCCGGCTCCGTGGGGACACACAACTGCCTCAGCCTTTGTCGGCCCCCGCCGGGGAGAGGGGCCTGGCTCTGCGCTGGAGGGGGGTGCCAGGAGCCAGCACCCTGCTTACCGGTCTGTCTGCAGGACGTGGATGAGATGCTCCATGGCCTGTATGCCCACCTCCAGCCGGTACTTCTGTCGGGGGGAAAAACCGGAGAGTTAACGGTCTGGCTCAAAGTCCAAACAGAGCTTTGTAAGAAATACATCAGGAAAGCGTTAAAAAGCCGTGCAGCTCTTCTGGAAGTCGGGTGCTTACCTTGGATAGGGATTTAAGGGCGCGCACGGCATCCCTCCGGTCATCCAGCAGGGTGGAGGAGGCCACCCGGTCACACAGCTTCTGGATCTGGGGACACACCGGGCGGCAGTCAGCACCACCGAACGCCGCCCGGCCTCGGGAGCGCCGGGGAGAGCTGCCAGAACACCGCTTCCCCCTTCGGACCGCCCGGACAACCCCCGGCCCGACACAGCCCCCGCCGCACCGGGGAGGGCGCAGCACCCGCGCCGCCGCTGCCGGCCCTGCCCCCGCTCCGCTCCGGGGGGAAAAGACGTTCCCTGCCGCTGCGCAGCCACCGGGCCTGCCCCCGGGACGAGCTGTCACCGCCCGGCGCGGGGACGGCGGCCGGCAACCGGAGGCAGCGCTCCCCTCCCGGCCCGCCCGCGGCCTCCCCCGCCAGATCCGC